TGAAGCAGCCTGGGATCACACTGCCTTCACATCATGGACAAAGTGCCTCTGCGGCAGTATTTGGAGCATGTGGGGGAAGCCCTTCTCACCACTGCTTGCGATGCTGACTGATTTTGAGACCTTGGCGGTTTTGGCATTGGGTTTACAAAGGCCTGGGCAGAGCAATAAGGTAAAAGATCTAATCCATTTGCACTGTGATGGAGGTTCAGGCTAAAATGTTCAAAAACGCCAGGGAAGCAGTGTAGAACAAAGGACTGTCTCTTCTCGGGGATATACTGCTACCATAGCTCTAGAAACCAGAGAGCTTTATAGGAAAAACAGTTCCCCGCTGCGTATGTTTAGCTTTCCACTATAAGCAATGGTCTTACATCTTACCTACCTATCATTTGAAAAGCACCCCAAAATTTCATCTGGCTCTAACTGACGTTAAAATGACTGCACATCAAATTTAATTGGCTAGCACAACTATAAATATCTAGGGCACTGCTTGAACCAGACATTTGTTTCAGGGCTGAACAGTTACATCCAAACATCTGCTGAGCAACAAGGCCAAGATGCAGAAAGTTGTTTATTAATTACCCTAAGTTAGCTGGAAGTCCACTAAGTGAGTCAAAACTGGACCATCAACCCTAGTCTGGAAAATCCTTGAAAATTTCATGACCTATTTTAGCCGAAAGTGAAAGTTGTTTAGCCAGATCTTATTTCTGTCATGATGGACAGTAACTTGGGCTTTTTGCTTAAGCTCAGGCTAATCTACATTTCATGAGAAATAGGCTTTCTTTGCACAGTTATACATCACCAAATTAGATCAGTCAATTCTGCTCCAGTTGCTTTAAAAGAAAGCCATGAAATGACATAAAATGAAACAGTATTTTTAGCAGTTTCAGCCTTAAACTGTTGTCAGAGCGCAGACAGCTTCTTGACATCAAGCAGTTCACTGGTGGATTTCTTCTTGATGTGTATTTTGGTGTTCACCTTGTGGCTGAAAGCATCTATCACACATAACAACCCAGGCTAAACTCAGCGTTTCAGGAAATATCCTACCATGCAGCCCAAATGTAGCTTCCTAAATATCTGTCTCAAGTTAGAGCATTACTTTGACCTCAAAACCTAAAAAGTCTGTAGGACTTCCTCTAGTACACAAATATTTTCAGAGATATATTCCCTTCATATTTAATATACTAATTCCTATTTCTGTCATATATTTTCTCAAGAGACACAAGAATTAGAAAAATATACACACATGCAAATACATACAGACATCGACAAAAACTCCTCTTTCTTTTGCATGATTCATTCAAAGGGAAGGGCATTCTGGCATAACAGTTCAGATCTGTCAGCAGCACTACTTTTCAGTACCTGACTGTGTTTTTGATTCTACTTTTTCACTAGCTCTCCTGACTGTGCTTTTCAGAACAATTCAGTTGACCTGTCAAGTCACAAGGAATTTTTTTATTGACAGATAGCAAATGATCGATGACCTTCTTGGGTGCATGGTCTGAATTTAAAAAGCATCAAAACTCAAAACTGTGTAAGAAGCAAGATAACAGTGAAACCTTTGGGACTTAAAGCAAAAGCAATGCATCTAGGCACAGATCAGAGATGAGCTACCGTCAGAAAACAGCAGCTTCTACCCCTGGTTGTTGAGGTTAATTTTAATTCTCTCCTCCTACCTTATTAAAAATTGCAAGACTTTTTATAGTGGTTGTACAGCTGTGTTTAAAACTGTTCAATTAACTGCAGGGATGAGCAGGAGTGAGGCTGCTTAATCTGCTCCCACAGGGCTTCCCCTCCATTTTGTTAGAACTTCTAATGCCAATGACAAATGCCTTCATCGCTCTCACGTGAGTCTTTCCAAGTAGATTTACTCTGCTGAACACCTTTGCAGCAAGGCAGTAGCTTGTAATGCTTTGCTTACACTGGTGATGTCTCCTAGAGAATTTATGTCTGCAGTAACTCTGCTGAGTCACTGTTTCTAATGGGGAAACAAGAGTTCAAGAACATTTAAGCTTTGTCTTCAGGGTATCCAACAGACGTTGCTCTCAGTGCCTCTCAGGAGGTACTGGGGTCTTCCTCTTTGCTCATAGGTATTAGATATTTTTTTCTCTTTTTGCCTATTCTTAAAGGAAGGAAGAAAAAGAAATGCAGCTCTTGAAAATTTCCAGGGAGTTATCTCAAGAAATGTGAGAAACTATTAATCATTTGTGTTACAGGGAGATCTAGAGGTCACTGCAGGACCTACTGCGTGTACAGGAAGAGACTGTCTTAGCCTGTGAGTAACAACAGACTGAAGAACTCAAAGTGAAGGGAGAGAAAATCTTGCCATTTCCATTTCAAAGAAGAGAAAAATAAGGCAACCTGTGCAGTGTCACACTTTTGTGCAACAGCCTCTTGAGCAGACCACTGAGTTTCAAGTCCATAGCAAACAAACCCAAACCTCAGAGGCATTAGGAAAAAAAAGTCAAATGATTAATCTGGTTTTTTGTCACTATGCCAACCCTCTTCCAGTGTTGTGCAAAGCACTTGGTGCTTTGTGTGTCCTTGTTTTGGGGAAGTCAGTTGACTGGGTCTATTCCTCATCTCTTTTTAAAGATGTAGGCCATGGCTTGATATACCTTCTAGGTATCTTTTTTGCTGCATTAATACATTTCCCCTTTCCTCAGTTTATGCATGCATCTATACACCAAGAATGACACATTTGTGTAACTAATCACTATGCGCCATGTTCCTTTGATGTCATACCATGACCAAGCTTCAGTGTCTTTAATCTTTTTATGCACTCAATTCACCATCACTAATAGCAACTGAATAACTGAAATTCTAGATAATATCATTAGGTGATACTAGTGCTGAGACACTTTGGTGACCAAGAAGAGGTTTTTCAACTCATCAGGATTGTTACCTTTACAGCCCAGATTGATTGATCCAAAGGATGAAAAAGTTTAAAACAGAAACCATCCTTTTTGGAGGGTCTCTCGATCAGCTCACAAGAATGGAGCAAGATTGTCCCAACCCACTGTCCGATCTTTGGCGTCTTATAAATCAGCAGCACTCCTGGTTTCAGAACACACCACAGCTTGGTCCAACTCTTCAAAGTCCCACGAATCTGGAGGGAAGCAGGGAGAGAACAGAAAGTTGCATTTACTTTGCTCCTGGAAAGAAAACCAGTATTTATACAGTATTTCCAGTATGTGTTTCTCCTAAGGCCACACTACGATACACTTCCTTAGGGAGATACATTGCATTATCTGAACAGTCTAGGGATCTGATAGCCAAATTTACAAGGCCTGGGATTTTGCTGTCAGAATCCAGTCTTCATTTTTTAGTGCTGGCTTAGTGTTAGCAGCTTGCTTAATTTTTTAGGCAACCAGCGCTGCTGGCCCATGTGAGACTGATTTGTTAATAATCATGGAGGACACGCCAATTAGAACATTGCATAGCAAAATGTTATTGCTAGTCTAATTCCGCTTATAAGTCATTTTAACTGTGTTCTGCAGAACAGAGCTATGAAAGAGTTTTGTCAAATACCCCATTTTTAAAAGCACCTTCTCCAGATGGTTTACTTCTCTGTCAAGCTCAATGCATGCTCCTTCTTGTATAGAAGACATTAAATCTGATAGCATATATTAAAGATAACAGCTTTAAGAATAAGGAAGTTTCTCAGTAAGGTTAGATTTTGCCTAAGGTCTTCTTGACTTCAATGTACATAGGCCAAACATCAAGTCTTATGTCAGTGTTATGTTTTTGTGGCTCAGCATCATTTGTTGCTGAACCAGAAATTTCAAGCCACAACAAACATACAACAGGTATTTTGTATTTTAAAAACCCCTCAATATTTATCTATCATCAACACTAAACATTATGGAAACATTTTGTTGCCAATGTAATTTCTCAAATAAACCATACCCATCTCACTTTTCTGGCCTCTAATACTGATCATAGAACAATGTTGGAGGTTTTTCACTCTGGTCAAATGCAATTGTATCGTTTCATGAAATCCCTAAGTTAATTTTTTTTTTTTTTTTAAGAGCTATGTGTTTGGCAATGTTTGGAAATTAAGTTTTGCCATTATAAAAGGGCAACCAATTCACTATTAGTCGAGAAGACTAAATGGCCCCAAATAAGGAGAAAATCAGCGGTGAAAAGTAACATCTCTCAATGCCAATCCAAATTTATTTTGCCACATACAACGTTTCAGGACTTCAATGAGAAGCTGTCACTAGTTGAGTCTTTGCACAAGGAGAAATTACAGTTGTCATCAGGTCCAATATGTTTCATTCTGTGCTGTGACAACATAAAATCCAACTGTCAATAGAACAAGCTGTATCTGCGCATTTCCAGGCTGTTATTCTGTCTATTCCCTCTTCACTACAAAAACACATCTATGGGAAGAGGCCAGCAGACTCTTTCAGAGAGGACGAAAGAAGGAAACATCATCGGTTCCTTTTGTACTATGCACTTTTTGAGAACCCATCGCTACTTAAGGACATGAGTTAGGTTAAGATGGAAAGTAAATATTCCCCATAACTCCACTTTTATAGCAGCTATTTAAGTACGGCTTTACAGCAACTTCAAGTCAAAATTATTTGGTCTTGTTTCACTCAAAAAAGTGCTAGTGCATAAGTCTCAGACACATCAAGTACTTCTCACTTATTTTTTCCTACAGCCTCAGAAGCAATGGTTTGTATGAAATACCTTCAGCCAGTCTGCTGTGATCACTACACTGGGATCCTTCAGAGCACTGAAGAGTTGTTTAGTAGCCCTTTTCTTCTCCTGTCTGTAATTTTTTTTTTGTACCTGGTTCAGAACAGAGAAAATACAGCAGCTGTAATCATGGCCTCTTTTGGGGAGGAAAGAACACAATGCATTAAGGACAGCTATGTATAGCACAGCTAGAACACGACCCAGCACAAGTTCCCCAGAAATGAGCACAAGGAAGACCAAAAGCATAATGAGATAGGAGGCATTTTCTTTGCTCCTGAAGTCTCACTAAACATAATGTAATTTGGCTTTTCTTTGGGGGGAATGGAAAGAGACTGAATACCCATTCCTCCTCAAATTAAAGCAATTAAATCTAATTTCATCCAAACCAAATTATTTATACTTTTGGTTTGGTAGACAAACAAGCGTTCAAGCAATGATTTATTCAGATTGCCTAGACGTACCCCTCCTAACAAGACCAATGAAGGATTACAATCCTCTTGAGGTGCCTAGTGGCTCTGGAACTTATGAACAGAGTGAAATAATTACACTGATTTGTTCTGTTTGCAGTACATAATCTAATCCTGTATATAAAGCTTGTAAATGCCCTTGGCCTACAATGACTGCTAGAAGAGTTGGAGGCTTCTCCAGGTCTTGGGAAATGACTCAGAGCAGCTCCCAATGGTTTGTTTGGAAGGTACTACTTGTTTTGTAAAAGAAAGTCAGCTGATGCTGACTTGGCTGCTTTGCACATACCTTCAGTGTTTCCTTCTTCATGAATTTGGCTGTGGGAGACACACACTCTTTGTCAGACCCATTGCAAAGCTTATATTCAATCTAAAAAAAGAGGGAGAGAGAAAACAAGCATGTGTTAACATGAAGATGTTCAAGTTATGTTTTAATGAAGAGTTGTTTATAACTTCCAGAAATCCATGAAAGAGCTGATTGCAGAATTCAGCAGCAGAATACTAGGAAGGCGCAGAAAATGCATATTTGCAATGCACTCCGAACTTCATTTTTATACTCATAGTTAGTTGAAAAATTGCCCAGCAAATTTTCTTCATATTTCTCCCATGCAGACATTAATCTTTGTAAAATAAAAACAAAACAAAAAACCACCCCTATTCTTATTCCTGACTTCAAAAACTGCCCATCTCTTTTCAGATCTGAAAGCATTTCAATTACTGGAATAAAAATTATGGGGAAGCTGGTATAGATCTTTCAGAACCAGACTCGATATTGGCAATGACTGTTGCCCTAACTGAAATGTCCAGAAACATGAGTGGGCAAGAAATGACTTAATCATGTTACAGATAATACAGGAAATCATCATTATCTTGGCCTTGCAAAGCAAGGCACAAAATACACAGTCACTTCAAATCATGTTTGATAGTGTCAGTGCTGTTTAAATTCATTTTCAGAGGCTGCAGACTGATCTCATGACTGTGCTGATGGGCTGAAAAAATGCTTTACTTTTGTTAGACGTGGTCACAATATTACTGTTCCCAAAATAATATATGCTTGGAGAGTATAGCTCTCTGGAGCCCAGCTCATGATGAGGACTCCTACTTTGACAGGTACTGCCGGCAAATTATCCAAAACCTGGGGAGGGTTAGTCGCATAAGAACTGTGGTACAGCCTAGACTCTGCTACTTTTTATGTGACGTTGGGGAAGTTACTTTCTCTCTCTGTACCACTTTTCCTTCCAACCTTTCATGTGTCTGATGCATTCAGACTGTGATCTTTTGCGGTCAGGCACTGTCTCTCCTACTTATGCATGACAGTTTTATAAAAAAGCTCAGCCCTTGGTCACCTTGATTTAATGGGTATGACACAAAAACGAGTTGTACTACGAAAAAAACTATCAAATATAGTTCCCATTTATAAATTCGCTGCTATGATGTGAAACAAACCCACTGGGCTCTCAGACTCTCTTTCCTGTATGTCATGATTTGATGTAATCATTGTACAGTGACTTCAGTTTTGAGAGACCCACTTTCCTTTTCCCACCCAGCAGCACAGAAACCTCTCTGGCTACTACAGCCACAAACCATGCTGAACATTAGTGTGAGCAGGAAAATATTTCAGACCAGCCAGATCAGTCCTTTCCACACGACTTCTTTAAAAACATGCAAATGCATGACCAGATCACAGCAAACAGGCCATCACCCATGCTTGGAGACTGTGACAGAAGCCAAAATGGGAGATAAGGGTGCATGCCCAACTGAGCAAAACTCTCTCTGGATGATGCAGGATTAGAAATTAGGGTCAGAAGGTGCAATTTGCAACAGAGCCAGGGTCACTGTAGAACCTAGTACTTGTTCTCACATACCCTTACAGTAGTCTTTCACTAGAAACAAAAGTACACTTGACACTTAAGAATAGAGAAATGAAAACCCTGTGATGGCACATAAAGACCAGTGAAGCCCCTGATCTGACTTTCCAGTTTACAAGTCAACTTGGCATTGGATCCACTCAATGAAAATGCCAGCTCTGGACTCCTGAAAACTATTCAATATTTGCCATTTTTGTTTTGATAGAAAGTTAAACCTGTCTCCTCTACCTGCAATGCAGTCTCTGATGCATATTTTGTATTACTGCACATGGGACTTCCCTGTAAAAACATAGGATTTACAGTGGGGACTGCTGCACAGATATGACATTTGAGCAGAGAATTGCGCCCACGGGGTCTTTGTCACTTTTCAAAGGGCAGTGGTAGACATTTGGGAGATATGCTATAAGCTTTTCTTTATGAGGAAACATTTCTAAGTGCTTAAATATCTCTGAGCAAGAATCCTTCAGAATTATTAGGAGATTATGCTTTCATGATTCAAGACACGTGTCCTCTGAAACTGGTCAGAAGAATTCTCCCCCTTTCTCCCAGTTCGCAGGGAGAATGTCCTGTCCTTGAGATACAATTATGAGCCAACTGTTTATTGGTAGTTTCACTCCCTCCAGCCCAAGAGATCAGACACAGAGAGAAACACTGCGTACTATTCCTCATTAGCCAGCACAAGAAGCAGAAAAAGCACAGATGTCCCCGAGATTCTAGGAAATCCTGCTCAGGTGTCTGCAAAGCATCAGGATATAATGAATGCTTTTTGCTTAACTAATTAAAACAAGCTACAGTCACTTCTTGTCTAGACAATTACATTTTAGCACTTATATAAAGAATAAAATCTTGGCCCCTAAGCTGACTTGGCTCAAGGAAATTTCCTTGAAGATGAATACAGAAAGGCTTCCAACAACAGCCGCAAAGCACGCAAACCTGAGCCCTAAACCTGCTGCTCTTGGGGAACCATTAACACAGAGGCACTTTCACTGCTCTACGATCCACACCTGCCTCCTCCTTGGAGTCTCTCTAGGTCATGCTAAAAATAGAATTAAACAACCATAAGACTTCAAACCTGGGACGTTTACACAGAGAGACATTGATTCTGCCTCTTCAGGAGATCTGACTCATAGCTTCATGACCAGGGACACCGCATGCCCGAGGCCAGCCGATACTGCTATGCATGTTATAAAGCCGTAGTCCACAACAGTGTATAATGGGATAATCTCCCCTTACACCACCATAGCTTTTAGAAGCTCAATAGAATCACAGAATCACAGAATGGTTTAGGTTAGAAGGGACCTTAAAGATCATCTAGTTCCAACCCTCCTGCCATGGGCAGGGAGATCTTCCACTACATCAGGTTGCTCAAAGCCCCATCCAACCTGGCCTTGAATGCTCCCAGGTATGGGACATCCACAACTTCTCTGGGCAACCCGTTCCAGTGCCTCACCACCCTCATAGTGAAAAATTTCTTCCTAATATCTATTCTAAATCTCCCTTCTTCCAGTTTGAGGCCATTACCCCTCGTCCTATCACTACATGCCCTTGTAAAAAAAAGTCCCTCTCCAGCTTTTTTGTAGGTGCCCTTCAGATACTGGAAGGCTGCTATAAGGTCTCCCCAGAGCCTTCTCTTCTCCAGGCTGAACAACCCCAACTCTCTCAGCCTGTCTTCATAGCAGAGGTGTTCCAGCCCTCTGATCATCTTCATGGCTCTCCTCTGGACCCGCTCCAACAGGTCCATGTCCTTCTTATGTTGAGGGCTCCAGAGGTGTACACAATACTCCAGGTATGGTCTCACAAGAGTAGAGTAGAGGGGCAGAATCACCTCCCTCAATCTGCTGGCCACGCTTCTTTTGATGCAGCCCAGGATACAGTTGGCCTTCTGGGCTGCAAACGCACATTGCCGGGTCATATTGAGCAAAACTCATCTGAAATCATTACAAACTGGTCTTTCACTTGGTCAAAGCAGCTTGATTAACAGCCTTGGAGGCTGCTGCGGTGGGCTCCTGAACCACCGTGCTGCTTCTTTCAGGCACTGCCTCCCCCATGTCTGAGCTATGTCCAGACATGCTGAATTTGCTAGCCTTGCCTGTAAGGTGAAACACGCCCACAGGGATGGCGCACACTAAGACAGGCTTAATGGATGAGAAAGCAGCAGTAGCATAAGTCCCTCACTGCCTGTGTAAGACTTTCTAGGAATGGAAAAACGAGTATCTGTGTTGCCATGTCCCAAAAACTGTGATGTACCAGCTGTGTGATGGATAATGCAGCTCCCCGAGGTGGTTGTAAAATGACCAAGCTTTACGAAGAGAGAGAGAATTTTACTAAAATCAAGCCATGGACAAGTTTTCAGATGTGCCTGACCTGGGACTTCTGTTTTCAGAAACCTGACGCTGTACCCCAGTTACTTTTTTAATGATTGCTTCTCCCTGCCGACTTTGCTTCTTTTTATGCTGATGAAGATGCACCATCACAGGTCCTAGACAGCAGTTTGCTTGCAGGTGATCATCAGGTGTACAGAGTGAAAAGCATTGCATTTCTGGGTTTAAAGTTCCTGCCTTTTCACAGGAAAGGTGGGATCTAAGGTCCCAGCACTGCATACTGTAGGCCCCCATGCTGCTGATAGCAATGCACAGTTCTTCCAGGTTTAACCTGCTAAGTGACTTGAAGTAATATGATTTCATATGTTTACATGAATCTGTAGTTTTGATTGTACCTTGTGGCATATATAAGATTCAGTAAATCTGTGCCATCAGCTCAAAAGATCCCTAAGGCACAGGACAGATCAAGAGCATTTAATGATGTCCTTCTATTGCCCTGTCTTTCTCAGCCTGGCAGAAAACTAAGAGAAGGCATTTGTCATCACAGCAAATCTTTCAAGGACACTGGGATAATGCTTGTGCAGGATGTCAGAATCTGGCCCCGTCTCTCTGCAGCAACATGTGAACAATATTAACCAGAGATGAGACTTTTGTACAATGGGAGGGAATTGGTGTCCTTTTTAAAATCAAAAAAGCCACTGGAATATTCTGATAAGATAGCAAAGCAAGGTATGTTTTCCATACACTGGTTCTCATAATTATAAGGAGTGAAGACTGTTAATCTGCCAAAAACTTTTATCAGGACATAGAGCAGCACTTGCACGGGTAGGAAACTGTTGTTTCTTTTTTGTTCTCTAACCAGATCTGTCCTTTCCAGGATTGAGTGATGACCTTGCCAGCTGATGATGGGCTGTACTGTACTCAGAGATATACTTCTTATCCCAGTTAAGTTTCTATTCCTTTTCATCTCCGTCATGTAGCTCTGCAGAACCACTGCTGATTGTTAGCAGTTATCCCAATACCCTTACACTTCTGCTAGGCTTTGTAAGAGAGCATACAGACTCCTCACAATAATGCTATTCTGATCCAGTGTCTTTTTGGTGACTTCATTTCCAAGAGGAACCAAATCATTTCACAGACAAACAGTCTGTGATCAACTCTGGTGTGGGGGATGCCAGCCCATCAGCATGCTGTGCCTTGGATAATAGCAAGAGCAATATCCTGTTGTTTAACGCAAGCAATCCTTGATGCACAGGACAAACACAAAAAAACTGTAATGAGAGACAAATACGCAGAATTATTCCAAATCAGAAACATTTAAATAAAACCATTCTCAAGCTGTGGTCTGCCTGTTAACAGCAGTGACAGCTTACAAGTCGTTCTTTTTTCTTCTTTGCATCCAAGTAAGAGAAAGACGAAATCAGATGGGAATTTGAAGGCAGAACAAAAGTATCTGGGGTCATAAATTATGTTTCACAAAAGCAAAAATAGTCATCACATGGGAGACATCCTTGCTCACATGTAATATCTCCAGTATCTTTTCCACATATAAATGCTACAGAGCTGTATCACTGCAGAAATAAAAGAAATAAAACAAAAGTTCCCAAAGTGGAAAAAAAGTTCCATTAACATTATGGAAAAACTGGGTTTAACATTAGAAGTGAACAGCTTCTTGTTACTTATGTGAATATTCACAGATTGCTCAACTGCATTTAAACAATTTTGTTTTTAATTTGCTATAAGCAGGCCTTTCTAAAAACTTTTTCATTTTGTTGTGAATTAACAGCACATCCAAAGCACAGTGGAATCAGTGAAGCAATTCTTACTGACAAACAAGCTTAGTGTTAGGAAAGACTACCTTCGATTAATATGCTGCTTTACAGTAAATTGAATAATCTACACCTAAAACTTTTTACTTGCAAAAAAAGAAAAAATCCTTCTTATTTCAACAATGTTACAAAGACACAGCAACTGTGTTTACAACACTGAAATAGCACAATGAGTAGCACAAACTGAAAAGCCTGTACAAATAAATAGCTGACATGACAGCAATATCTGGGGAAAATCATTGCTGAAATTCAGCTATCCAAGCAACTCTAAATATCAAGTTATACTACTGTTTAGTGGAATGCTTTGCTCCATTGTGTCCTATTATAGTAATTAAAGAAAAAGTAACAGACCTCTTGGGATTTCTATTTGATCATTTAAGTGTGCCTTTCATGCGAAGAACGTTCTGCAAGTTTAGAATATTGAAAGAACATCTTAGGCGAGATGGGAAGTTGCACACTGAAAAAGATGCTGTTACACATGACATCCAGTTGTAATGCCCAGCAGAAACCTGAAACAAAGCTTTGCTTTCCCTTCTAGCTATAGGCACAGCTTTTCTTCCTAGGCTGATTTTAAACAAATGAAGAAAGTGAGCAACAAAAAACAATTGGACTTTCAGCTTAAAATATGCTTTGCTAAATTGTTCAATAAATAATTTCAATTTTAGCACCTCCATTTACCTTTATCTTTCCTATCAGAAACACTAGAGTAAGGAATTACGATCACCAGCGACCCGGGGTGACGTGATAGGACTGCTACGGCTTACCCAAAGTTATAAACTTTGAGACTTCATTTCTGAAGTAGTTACTGCTGTCTACATTCCCCTCTGTGAGGCACTTGGGAGTTTCAGGGCTTTTATGGACCAACACAAGTTAGGGATGTTCCAATGTTTCCTACCTCACAGTACAAAATCCTCCCCCTACATATGCAATTTTCCCAGGATACTCCAGGCTACATCTCTGCTCACTTGAAATCAGCTGCAAAGCCCTCTGTGGACAACAGTGATTACCCTAAACAGTTGCACATGGAATTGCAGAAGCAAGATGTAGCTGAGCCAGGACACAGGAACTGAGTATAAGTCTTGACAGGGAAAACTAGCTCAAAAATAATTACATCCACAGCATCGACAGCATAAAGTAAGGTAATAAAAAGCCAGCAAGGGTCCAGTTAAGCATAACACCACCTGGAAGGGCCGAATTTTCCTATAAGGCTGTGCTTCACACACACAGGGGATGTTTTGCTCCTGAGCCTCTGTGAGGTGATTCCTGCAACTTCTGGATCTCTCTGACAACCGATTCCTCGGTTTGCTAGCTAAGAGAGAACAGAGGGAAAGGTACCCTTGTAGGTTGCCAGAGTTGTAAATGATCTTTTATGATAGTCCCAAATGTAACCATGGCTGGAATTAACTCAGAGGTTAAGAGCACGATTCATGGATCGAGAAGGATGAGCTTGAGACAGCATGGGAGTTGTAGCTTAAATCTCAAGTGATCAGTATGAGTCATTTCAAACTACTTTGCAGCTAAAATAAATTTCTAGCAGCCACTTAGATTCATATTTCAGATTACAAATCACACAATAAAGACTTGAACAATTCAGGCATGTGGAAAAACTCATTCGTGATGAACAAAGCAATCTAAGTTTTGCGCTCCCACACATCATAAAACTGTGCACGCAACAGCCATGCTCCGACAATGTGATAATTTTAGACCCTATTGTGGCATTAGTGGGAGACTGAAAAGAGTGAAATACCACTGAGTGACAGCTTCAAGATTTTTCTGACTATCCCTTAAAATACATTTCAATTCTTTGTGGGCTCTGCATGCATATCAAGAGACCCCAGCTGCTCTCCAGCCAGTAGAATAAATAGGTAAGCACAGGAAGGGAAGAAAGAGAAAATGCAACACTGCATACTGCAATAAAAGGTGCCTTAAAGGATGCTAACCGTGCTGAATAAAGCACAAAATGAAAGCAGGGTACCTCCAGTCACTGTCAGGCAGTACAGTGCTAACTGCACTACCTGGCTCCAAAAATGAGCTTGAGGCTTAGATAGTTTCTGGCCCCCTCTATAAGCACTGGTCCCAGAAAGCAAGGCTAAAGGGCTCTAAAAAAGAGAGAAACTAATATGAGAAACAATCTGAAATAAATAAGCTACTTTTTTTTCCCCTTGAAAAAGGAGATGAAAGAGACTGCACTTAAAAAAGGAAACAGGAGAAAATATGCCCCAGGAAAGTTAGCAATGTAATACGTAGCTGAACTGTGCCTTAAATTTATTTTAATAAAATTTGTGGTGAAATCAGAAATATATAATGCTAAGGACTGCACAAACACACTGAAATCAAATGTTCCAGCACCAAATATTTTACTGTCTGTACAGATAGTACAATCAGGATGTGTTCACACCTCAGACATAGACTTATGAGCACAGGGGAGTGGGGCTGCAGTTAAATGGCTTCACAGCTCACAAGTTCACAGATGTCTTGGTGTCTGCTAACCTGGAAAACCTGCAGCCTGCTCCATCATGCAGTGTGGATATGGCCTGAGTGAACAAAATGGAGAACCATTTCCACCTCACTGATGAAGATGTGAAACAGAAACGCAATTAATCCGCCTGGGGAAATGCAGGGACTCCAAGTCAGAGCTGGGAATTCAAGGTCCCCTAAGCCCCAGTCCAGGGATTGAATCACTCGACTGGCTTTCCTTTCCTTCTCATTACTGGGTGAACAGAGTCAATGTGGTGTGGTACATCAAAATAGCGCTGCTGAAGGAACATGGATTTCCAACAAGGTTTGTTATATCCACTGTGCCAAAAGAAGGGTAAGTATTCAGAGTATTCATTGCATAGATCTGTTACGTAGAACATTTACTTCTGAATCCATTAATTAAACCTGCACACCCTACAGTTTGGTTTCTAAAAATTATTTCCCCCCTGCTATCAGGAATATAAACATGACCCAGTTAGCACACACTCCTTCCTTTGGTTCAAGTAGGTGGAATCGCTACTTATTTTTAAACTGGAATACTGTGACAGGTCCCTACTTAGAGTTCTGGACACGAGACAGTAAGGTTTCATTTTACAGCCTTAGAGCTAAGTGGACGTGAAAAATGAAGTATTAAGCAAACTGACTACCAGAGAAGAACAAGGTAGTGTACAACACAGCAAGGCAAAACAGAGTGAAATGAGAATGACAGGCGCTACAGCACAGGTCCAGTGAGGTGGAAATTTCCGAATCAAACACCGTGTGCCTAAGCAGAACATTCAGGCAGGAAAGAAAACCTTGGCTCTGGCCCATTCAGTACCCAAAGCAATTGCCTGCAACACTGCAAGTGAGTAGGCAAGTTGAAGTTTGGTGTTTTGGGTGTCTTCATATCTGTTTTTGGTCCATTTGCGTTTCAGAGCAATTTTGACTATTGTAAAACCAAAGTCTTGGGTTGGTGAAAGCAAAGCTTGTGTCCAGGTTCAGACCCCCATTTGTTTGGAATCGCAAATCTGATGCAGTTGTTTTGTGCTGTACGTTTTCTCTTATCTCTCCTTAACAAATGCTCTTGACACTGTCAAGTAGAGACCCACCAACACCTCCCAGGTGCACACAAAGCACGGCAGAAATCTAGGTGGGCACCCAAATCTTCCAAGGGTGCTTCTGCTTTCAAAAACACACCTGTAGGAGACTAAATAGCAGGGCAGGCCCTGAGGCTAGGAAAACACAGCTGAGCTGTACTCTCACCCAGATACCCCTCATAAATACACTCCTACTCTTGTGCTCATCCTGCATCTCAGAAATCGAAGTCCCCTTTGGGCAGCATTTCAGTGCTCTGAATTGTCCTGTCCAGAAAAAGTCCTTCTTCTTTACATTCCTAAGTCATTGGGAATTTAACACCACTCCTTGTAAGGCGTGCAAAACATCTGCCTTTAAAACAAAGCCCTGGATGAAGTTACCTGGTACTTGGGCTTCTCCATTGCTAGGATAAGTGGGAGGCTGGTTTGCCATAAGGAAGCTGCCTGAAAAAGCAAAACCAAGGTCGGTTTGCAGCTTGCCAAATTCCAGCAATAGCAGCGGACATGTACACGAGCCCTTGTCGCATACTCCCAAAGCTCCTCTCGTCACCATCTCCCTGTGCTGACCGCTGCCAGGGCACCCCGGCAGAACAACCTGCAAGCTCTAGGCAAGCACAGCCAAATGTATTTGAAGATGCAGAGCCTATTTCCATATATTATAGGAAATCACTTGTCTGAAGCTGCTTCCTTCGTGTTATATTTTCATTTCAGCTGGTGTCACTTGCATTTCATAGCTTCATAGTTGAATAAATTTAGTTAAAAAATTATTAACAGGTCTTGCTTCTATTTCTAGTTACCCTCCAGAAACATGTTAGGGAGCTGCAGCCAAAAAAGCCCATACATGAATCTCAAAAGCCAGATCTAATTTATAAAGTTGATTCCATCTCTTCAGGAAATCAAACCCAGGCATTCAGTAACTCTAGATATAGAGCCAGGTTTTGAAGCCTCAGATCCAGAGTCTTTAGATCCAGTTTTACCTCTCTACAACACTGTGTTCAGGCAATGTTGGACAGTTTGCAATCCTCTCCTGTTACACCAATTCCCAGAGCTCACAGTTTCAGATGCTATGCACTACACTAAATATTACAGCCTTCTCTTCCAAAACAATTAAGGTTTATGATTGCCTCACTGACCAGGAGCAGCAGGAGATACCTCTGCTGACAAAATCAACCTTTCAACCATAACTATTCATATACAATTACACTGCCAAATGAGACTCAAAAAAACAGGGTTCTTCTGCAGTAGGTGCTATCAAGTCAGAGGAAAGTGTGGGCTTCTCTGTCATCCCAACCATTCAAAACCACTCATTTTCTTTCTCTCAAAACATGCACACACAGATCCTGCAGGAACATAAGGAGAGGCTTTCTCAATGGCTTTAAAAAAGAGAGAGTAGGAATGATTAATAACAGCCTGAGAAGAATGAAAGCAAGACTAGGGATGGATTCCACAGTACCTTACTAATGGAGTTTGGAGTCTGTGGTGTCTCATCCTTCAGTGCCGTTGGGCTGTTTCCTTCCACGTCTTTTCCTGCAACAAATAAATGTGATTCAGAAACAGAGAAATTCTGCACAAAACCATGGCTACTTATTGCCTTAGAAGGGCTACTGCTAACGGCAAGCAAGAGAAGCTGTTGTGAGCAGGAGCAGGCACACCAGGATCATAGAGAGGGAACTTGCAGAGCTTGAAATAGCCTGGATCCACATGCTTGGGCTATGCAACAAGCACTGCTTAAGTTAGGTCTCAAAACACCATGGTAAACCAACATGATGGTTGCAAAGTCTAGCATATGAAGGCTGGAAAAAAAAACAGAAATAAGGTTGCTTTTGCATCCTTAATCAGCTCCCTTCTGTGTCTGCATTATGATGTAGTCTTTAATTACATTACCACAGTCTGTTCTTTTCTTACATACCCCATGCCTCATTCAATGCAAATAATCAATGGAATTCAGTTAATAAGCAGCTATTCAATACATTATGCTCCTTGGTCAGTATCTGGCAACTATACACAGATGCACTTGATAGCATGCTTTGTTTGACAAATAATAACCATGATCATAAAACGTTACAGAAGACAGAGCAGCATTTAGACATAATTAGTAAAACAAAATTAAAAAAACCTGCAGAAGGTCAATGTCTTCTGACCAAGTTATTTGTTAAAATAAGAAACATTTTCAATTAACAAGTAGTATTTATGAACACTATGACATTTTCCAATCATTGTTGAGATATATTTCCACTACCCAAGTATACTAAACTTGCAGTACATTATACCCATTATATACTAGTCTGCGTGTGTGTAGTCCTAGTCCAAGCAATAAAATGTAATGATAAATTCTGTTCTGTTTGCCAACTGTAATCATGTCCTTACGGTAAAAGAAAGCATAGAGCTTCTATTAAAAAAAAAAAGCCAAAAAAATAGCATCTGATGAGACTAGCTTTTTAGTGCCAAGACAGTCATTGTTATCCAATTGCAATGTAGTCGTCTTCTCAAAACTGTTAGCAGTAAGAGCTTCAGAATACCGGACGCAGTAAAGAACCACTGAGACAGTGAAAAATAATCCGTTTGTAGCACGCTGCAAACATGGGAACTGCTAAAAATGTTTTTAAACATTGTGTGGGCCAATCTTGGAAACACCACCCAATCCAAAACCAGTAAGGGAAAATCACGATTCTCCTGAAGTCAGCAGATGTTGTCACAGATGTGCCAGAAGCCATAATGTCTCCTGGAGTTTTCAGAACAACCATTTAAGAAGCCAAGCACCGTTAGAAAAGTCAGCCACAGAAACTTACTAAAAACACATATCCTCATGGCCATCGTCTGCACTTCCATCATGGGACATGTGAGAGAACAAGCATGTCCCATTATAACCAGAACTGCAACTATGCTACAGGGTTTCACTGGTAAAGAGACAGGACAAAACCCATGTCCTTTTAACAGGCATCAACAGGCAGTTTGGTGTATCCAACTCTTAAATTTAAGAAAAGGCTTTGTGGGACAACTGTTCCTAGAAGGTGTTCAACGATCTACATGGTGACTAAGGGTGGTGGTGTTTTCAGACGTGTTTCTCACCCTGTGGCATAGTCCTGCGCTGTGCCACACGCATGCAGCTGCGCTGATGCAGAAAGCAAACACTTCCAAGTCTGGGAGAAGAGGGACAGCACGTGGATTGCTCATGTGGGGAACTGAAGCAGAGGAAGGACCCACTCTGTCACATAGGAGGGTGCTGCAACAATAGGGAGCCTGTATCTTAACCTAGTTTCTTCAACAACAGGGAGCCTATATCTTAACCTAGTTTCTTAACTGTCACTCCTCCACTTGAAACACTGAGCCCTAGATAATGTATTTGGAAACGTAATGTGTGCAGGCAAGAGAAAATCCCAAGTGGTCGGATATTTGCCAGTCGCCCTGTGCTACCATGACAAGTGGGATGGCCATAACCACTGCAGTGCATGGATTAGGACCCGTATCTCCATACTTTTTCTTCCCCTGATGGCACTTTCCTCTCTATAGCCCCCACTCTCCCCAACAGAGAGAGAGGAGGTTGGAATAAACTCACAAAGCCATGTAGCTGCTGCAGTTGTTTCCCATGAAGAGTTTTTTTTCTGTGCATGTATGGGAAAGTAACATATGGCCTAAAAGTTCAAGTAAAGTTAATGGGAATCAGCTGCTGCCTGCTCCAAGGGAATCGTGTCTATTAGCATAACAGAATTCACATCCATTATTCCGTTTCATCTCTTAAAGAAAGCTTAACTCCAAGCTGGTATCCATACAAAAAACCCGTACCTGAGAGATTTCTGCCTTCTCTCAGTAATACAGTTAAAAGGGTTTGCACCTAAACAATGAGATTTTCAGTGCTCCTGAGGTTATGGACCATCCTGCTCACAGGGTATTATGAAAAATGGGAACATGCAACTGTCCACTCTTACATTTACAAGGACTCATAAGATATGTTTATGGAGTAGCATATACTGGTTTCTTACACCAAACACGTTAAGTCTATTGGCATTTGTGCAGGAAAGGCTGTTTTTTGGAGTATCTTTGCTGTCTGTCTCAAGTAGACTTGCTGCAGCCATGCGGAGGGTGAGAGCCAGCCCTTGTCTGGAAAGCAAACTTCATTGAAACCATGTGCAAGTCTCTCAAACACCCGCACACATAGTTAAGTGCACAGAAAGCCCAAAAGCAAGAGTCCCACCCAGAGCACAACAGACATAGCCGCCTTGAGAAAATAAATAGGAAACCACAGAAAAACATATAAGGAACTGAATATTAAGTGGCTATAGAAGCTGAAGTTCTTATCTCCCTGATCAAGAAAACATAATGCCCACAACAGAAATAGAACTGCATCTCTCCCAACCTGAAGCGCTGGCTGCTAGCAGGGCATGCAAAGAAGGGTCCTCCACAAAGCAGCCCGGGAGTTTTGCACCAAATAGTGAAAAGTATTTTGGGAAGAGAACCAATGGTGCTTGTGGAATCAGCCTTCACCACGTCATGAAGAAAACTGCCAACACTCCAGCCTTGCGGTTACAGAGATGAATTACTGATACCGTCTTTTATCCCATTACTGTCATGCATAGGAAAAACAAATATTTAGTTCCTTTCCAGAAGAGTAACCATTCCTTTTCTTTGGTTTTCTGCTGGGCATCAATCCTACAGGTTCATTTGCCTTTCTCCCTTATAAAGAATGATATAGCAGGCCCGACTTATCAATGGTAACAGGAAGAAAAATAACCGGATTATTGAGGAATTAATGATTAGCTCCACCCAGCATGAACTACAAGAGGAAATACAGGCTCTGATGTGTGCCAAAAGCATTGTGAATAAAACCCATTACTGCTGTAAATACCAGCCACATGGCTTGATGTGTAAACCAGGCTTAAATTTAATTCTATGCATCTATCACAGTAAAATTCCCATATTCGTGGAAGTGCATCTCTGAGGATGCAGGATGCAGATAGGCTAATTTAAATTTTTATTTAAAGCCACTGTGTGATCTCACAGCATAGTGAAGAAGAGAGATTCTCTAGAAGTTCTTTTAGCTACTCTCCCAATAAACTTCCCACTTCTCTGAAAAAGAAAAGGGAGAAAGATTCTCTCCCCTCACTGCTACATGAAAGAAAGACACGGACAAGAAACATGAAGTCATGTCTCTCTAGTTTGTGAACTTTCTATAAAGAGAAAATGTCTTCCTCAAATTTCTTTTAGTTACTATAATAATTACCATTTTTGTATGCAACCAAGAGGCAAAAAGTCCAAAGTGTTATTTCAGATAGTGCCCTCTGCATTTCCCATATGTTTCCTTTACAAAAAAATCCTCTCACTGAACTGAATCTCCATAGCATATCTTGCCTCAAGTGTAAAGTCTGTCGCTCCCTTCTCACTGAATTATTTAACGTGCACACCTTCATTGTTGGAGGGCTAATCCTAGGTGTTGGTGCTGTGAGACCTGCAGCTCCAGCCACCTCACAACCCACCAAATTCCTGGCAGGAAACCACTGGGCTTTGCTGCCCGCGCTGCCCACAGCACCCACCCAACACGATCAGCCCAGTGCCCTCGTAAAGAAAATCTGCTGAACTGAAAGTTCATGTAAAACAACAGAGGAAAATGGGTGACAGAGAAATATTGGATGCAGGTTATAGACGTAGACCTGTGGCTTATCTATGGTGATAGCAGCATCCTTCAGAGGGATGGGAGAAGGAAGGGAGAAGCACACCAGGCTCAGAGGAAAACGAGGCAGAAGCAGCAGCAAAGGAGTGAAAGGGGAGCCCACCATGGGAAATGGCAACTGAACGTGAAGAATGACAGCTACTTCTTAGGGGAAACGTGAGGGAAACAAAGAGACGAAGCAGCTCTGTGGGGACCAGGAAAAAAAGGAAAGGAGTAAAAAAAGTAAGGTTAGACAAAACCCCAGACTCTCTGCAAGAAATCCCCTGGCTGAAGCAGTAACTTCTGTTTGTTTAAAAGGGATATTCTCTCCTTTACAAACTCTCTGGGCTATGCTCTCCCTTTGCATTACAGAGGGCGACCGCCCTTGCTGACGCCAGTGCTGGAGGTTACTTGGGAGAACTATGCAGCAGAACAAAAGTTCCAGCGTGGCTCAAAGCACTTGTTCTGCTGAGCTGCCAGCAGGGATTGAAGAGAAACAAGGTGATGGGGGATGCTGAGGAAAAGACAAACTCTTCCACCTACCTTCCCCATGCTGAAACCCTCAACTTTCCCTGGTTCCTGAGAGATTACAGCACTGAAATACCTCTGTGAGGAAGTTAGTAACTTTTTTAGCACTGAAAATGCTGTTAAGAAGAAGAATGAGCAAACCCTAAGCTATGGCTCTCCATCTCCTCAAAGTAAGGGGAAGTGACTACAGCCTGAAAAATCAGCCCTTCAGCTCCCAAGGATAGCAGAAGTGAAACAGCTATTTATTTCCCACCCATTTGTACGGACTGTACTTAGGGACAGGTAGCTGTTCAGAAGTCTCTACAAGTTTAAAATACATGAGATTTTAGGCATCCCATTTTAAGCTGTTTTCAATTTGATTACCAAAAGGTTGTTGAAGCTCCCAGTGACCTCGGTGACAGCCAGGGTTAGTCAGCACTGCTGAAATTAGGGTCCCCATTGCCTTGAAACAGACACCCACAAGTAGAAATACCTGTGAAATCAGAGGCCATTGCAACCTTTGCACTTAAAGTCAATTAGCTCAGGAAACCGAGACCCAGTTTTGCTCTACATCTGCGAAGCCCGGAGAGTCTGTCGGGTGTTACATCTGTATGAACACTGAAACCTTTTGACAGATGCTATGTTCTTTCTCTAGATACCAGTGTTTTGAGAGCTCAGGAAGGTGCTGTGAGGTTTGATTATTTAGCACTGACATGGCAGCTGCAAATGACAGATCTACAAACTTGTGACTGTTCCCTGAAGCACTTGTTTACAGACTGGAACGGAAGCATTGTTTGCAGACTGAAATCAAGGAAAGACTTGAACATTTATTGTTAGCAACAAATTCTGAAACAATAAAATAAGCTGTATTTCCTTCAAAAAGGGTGCTAGGAAATTCAAAGCAAAAAAGATGTAAAGAGAATGCTTAAAGCCAATCTGCCATTCACTGCAACCTGTCAAGATTCCTGGTACTTGTAGTGCTTGGAGATATTTACAGAACGTTAACCACAGAAAGTCTACTCTTGTAATATTTACCCTGGGCTCTAAATCTGAACAGGGAAATCTGCCATTAAACGTCTGCAAATGGGGCCAGTAATCTTAAATGAGTCCAACACTTAGGGTGAAACACAAAAGTGCCTCAAAGTAGAAGAGCCTGAAAATATTACTCAGTTTCGAAACATGAGGTTGTGCAGTGTTCAAACGGTTACGAACCCCAACTCTGATGCCCTCCATTCTCACTTAATGTGGCAATGAAAGACAACAGCATCATGAAAGCAGCACTGTCCGGGATCCAGTAATACCTGTGTTGCAACAGCTTCTCTCTCTCTTTCACATTAACTTGTTTCTCTTTGTTTCCTGCAAGCCTGCTAAAATATCTACTTGCAGTCAAGCACCTGAGACATACTACTTTCTGCACTGACACACCAGAAACCAACCTGGGCTGAGTGGGTAGATGTCATTGTCGGCCCCAAAGAACAGATTGCGTGTCAGCTTGCGAGGATCAACCTTCTGAGGGGTGGACGAGGCCGGACAAAGCGAGAACCTGCGACGAAGAAAGTTCTCCTCCTTCATGGCATGAGCTGTGGGGGTTTTCTGAAAAGGAAAGAGAGAAATAACAGTTCGTTTCAAGACACAGGAAATCAAAGTTTCACACCCAGATGACTCCGCTGCTTCAAAGCTGCATAATCCTATGTAGTGTGCCAGATCTTTTTATAGAGTGCCAGAAGGCTATGCAGAAAGAAAAAAAGAAAGTTATATTAGTTTGAAGCTACAATTACTGCTGACTCTCAGTATTTGCCAACTGCAGGGAAGCAGGACACTGCTCCTTGGCGAATCCAGGCGGTATAACACCCTCCTACCTACAAGGATCTATCTAGGATAATAGCTACTTACTGGGTCTATCCAGTGCACAGCGACTAAAATTCACTACTGGAGGTTTTTTTAAGGTTTTGGAGTCTCTTTCAAAAATGTAATGCCATTGGTGTCAGCAGAGTTACACCATCTCCGCAAAAATCAGTATTTCATCTGAGCTGTATGGAGGAAGACCAGCTGCTCTGGCTGCAGAGAGCAGCAAGCGGAGGTAACGCCACTGTCACTCCTGCCCTTGTTTCCAATTACAGCACATATAAACAATTTTGGTTTTCTTTAAAATGGCATTTAGATCAGCTTTGCAGTTTTATCAATAAGATAAACCTTGCTGCTTTGTGAGGGTAAAGGACAGCATTTGTCTCCCCAAAAGCCTCCCTGCATCCCCGTACAAGAGCCTGGTGGTACTGTGCTCTTTACCACCACTTGGCTAACACATTAGACTATCCTGGCTGGAATTAAAGGTTTCTTTTATACCCATCCAACAAGCAGCTCTTTCTTACCCATTACAAACAGATATTATGACTGTCTCCTTCCTGAGTTACAAGCTTTATTCTCTGCCCATGTGCAGCGAGAGGCAGGGCTCTTGCTAGCAGTGAGAAGCATTAACCCAGCCTTTGAGGGGGCACTACAGGCCACGAGGTCTGCTGCTTCTACAGGGGACAGTTACTGAAGTAAGAAAAACCCTTTATCATAGAGTCATAGAATTGGCTAGGTTGGAAGGGACCTTGAAGAACATCATGTCCAACCATCAACCTAACACTGCCAAAACCACCACTTAAACCATGTCTCTAAGTACCACGTCTACCTGTCTTTTAAATACCTCCAGGGATGGTGACTCCAACGCTTCCCTGGGCAGCCTGTTCCAATGTTTGAGAAGACTCTCAGTGAAGAAATTTTTCCTAATATCTAATTTAAACCTCCCCTGGTGTAAACTGAGGCCATTTCGTCTTGGCCTATCGCTTGTTACTAGCGAGAAGACATCGACCCCCACCTCTCTACAACCTCCTTTCAGGTAGTTGTAGAGAACAATAAGGTCTTCCCTCAGCCTCTTTTTCTCCAGGCTAAACAACCCCAGTTCCCTCAGTCACTCCTTCTAAGACTTGTGCTCTAGACCCTTCACCAGCTTCATTGCCCTTCTCTGGACGCGCTCCAGCACCTCTATGTCTTTCTTGTAGTAAGGGGCCCAAAACTGAACACAGTACTTGAGGTGGGTACTTTAGGATGGCACACGTTTCCTGAAAAGAGCCTCCAAGTTTTCTCATCTCTTTTAGGCTACTGGGAAAGCAAAGGGGTAAAAAGTTGCCCAGGGTCACAATGCAGTTCGGGAGGGCAAGACTAGCATGCGTGTAAGGTGACCTGTGTGGAACTACGTGGAAAATAGGCTGACTAAGGGCTGGAACATCCTGCCCTGCCCTTCTTGCTCTCAGTACCACCCTGGTGCGATGCTGGCCCCAATACCCTAATTTAACAGGGAACACTCAGTGGCCTCTTGGAGCTTAGCCTTCACAGCTGAGACACCGCACAGGGGAATGCCACAAATGTGTTCCAGTGTGAGAAACTCCCCTCCTGCGTTTTATCTGAGTTCTGTCCCTCCACCTGCCCTGCTAATCCCTGTAGAAGACAGTCTCAATGCTTCAGGTTTTGCCTTTTTTTTTTTTTTTTTAATTTATTTACACAGCAGGCTGCATCAACTTTATAAATTAGTTCTGATTTACAAGGTGAGAGAATCTCTTTCCCGCAAGAGACAGCCTCAGTGCCCAGGTGCTTAATTTGAACTAAAGCAGCCTGGACTCCAACAATGGGCATGGGTTACCAAAACTGCTTTGAGCAGCAGGTCTTTCTGAACCCAGCTCACCATGCTGGGATAGGTGAGCCATCAGATGTGAGGCTCTGTAAAATCCAAAATGGGGCTAATGGATGGTAGCTGGGGTTAGCCTGAAAATGGGACTCTCCCAGGCCACACAACTGCAGTTTGAAGGGGATGCATGTCCACTGCTGGGCCCGCGTCATCTGCAGAGGATGAATTAAGGTCTGTGCAATGGCTTGAGGACACAACATTCCCTAAAAGCCCTACGTGTTATCATGTCAACCCCTCTGTGAAGTGACTGTAAGACACGACAGATTCAGCAGCAGCATTTCACCATAACCACTTCACACATCTCTTGGTGAAAGGCTTTGTATTTGATCACCACGCAAGGCTGTGTTTCAGGCTGATGATGTATGATGACAGCCATGAGAAATGAAGTGGCTGCAGCGCTTTCCACTCCCTGCTGCCCTACCTCCTGTCAATTCAACTGCCCAGCAAAACCACCCTGCAAACATACATCCAGGCTCAAAAAGTCCGCAGGTTACCATCGAAGCCAACTGCATCTCTGAAGCAGCAGCTAACTTAGTTACCTAACATTTGACAATGGAAATAACCCTTTTTTTTTTTCATAGATACTCTTGATTGCATACAGCTGGATGGGGAGAAGATGCAAAATTAAAGCTAACTTTTAAAAAAAGAGAGGATAAAAATGCAGCTAGTTACGTGTCTGAAAGCAAAATATTTAAAAATAATCCAGGTCTAAATAGCTGGGTTTGGAATGCTAACACTGAGCTATTTTCTGCTCTTGTTCCCAGAAAGGCAGTCTCAACTCTGCCTCTGGAACTGCTCGTAAGTGGCTCGGAGGAAAGGCCGATCTGTGGGACACTCTCCCCAAAAAGCAGTGATCCAGCAAAGCGAAGCAGATTGTGCAGGACGGCGTTCAGAAACCCCAGGTCCATCCACTGGAAAGCAGGCTGGGGAACAAGTTACAGACATAAAACGTCCATCCATCCAGCTCTTTCGCCCTGCTCTCATGGTGGAGACTCTTCTTGACAGAGTAACAAAAAGGCTGCATTCAGCATCATTTCGTCTCAGCAGTACCGCAAGTCACATCAGTGGAGAACTGCCAGTCAGCTCATACTCATGTTGGTGGCAAAACCCCTCCAGACACTGGAGCAAGAGTAGGCTGTATACCAGGTCAGACATACCAAAACACAATTTCTTTCAACTGCTGCTATATTTAGTACACAGATAGATCAATGCTCTAGTGTTTCCCTCACCTATTATTTCACACTATTCAACCACGGGATAATTGAAAGAATTATTGTGTTGATGCTCTCTCATTCTCCAACTTATTTAAGGCATGGGCTTGATGGCAAGAAATCTAGATGCCTTGTTCAACTGAGAGCCGCCACTGGGCAATAACAAAGGAACAGACTTTTCTCAAGTCCGTAATTTGCTCTGACCCTTCTCTAACACATCTTAATACAAACTTGTGGCAGCAGCTCATGTCTTTTTGACCACAGTGATCAATTTGAGCAAGTTCCTCTTAACTGGGTCCTTTTTGGCAGAAGACCTCCAGTGACTGAAGCTCCCAAGAAGCAGCAGTGGTGATGTGTCTGTCTGTCAGATACACACACACAACCATGCAACACGCCGTGTCACCAACATCCTGGCCTGTTTTTCAAAGATGTATCTAACATTGCATTGCTCCCGCTCACGGGCACAGATCCTTCCTACAACTGACCCTCATCCACACAGGCTCTTATGCCACCCACATTTTCACGGGCTTTACTCCAACTAGAAGCTGACAGCAGCAGCAGAGTTCAGTGCGCTATACGGTGTGCACGCAGTTCACCTTGCTTTTCCTTTATTTTGGGTAAAAGAGAAGGATTGTTGGCCTGCAGTTCACTCTCTGAGATTGCACCATCTTAGAATAGCATGACATTTTTTCAGAGAAAGGCTAGGATGGACAGACTCAGCCTACACGATTCTACCTCGTTATGCAGTGAAAAGTGCAGTACAAAATCACAGAAGAGGACTTTTTTTTGTATTTTGGGGTTTTTTTTATACATCAGACACTTTTTTCCTTGGTGGGAGTAAATGTAGTTCACACTACTAAGATTCTATAATACACCTAAAATATTTGGCATGGTTTCCACAAGATACCTCTGTGTGTGTCTGCATCTGTATCTATCCAGTTTTATCTTCCCTCCCTCCCATTGCCTTTTGTACCATTGGCAAAAGTCAAGGAAATCTGACAGGTGTTAGAAAACTCAAAAATATTAGCTTCTTAAAAGTTACATGAAAATCAATGGAGGGAAACTGTATCATTGTCCTCCGAAAGAAGGGCAGTACTATGAACCCAGTTATTACCAAATATCAGCAAATCCAACATAAGCCACAAATCCATAAGAAAATGAGGCTTCATTAGCTCACTTACTTGGATAACTGCTTGTTATATCTGTCCATAAGGGTCTGCTGGCTTTACATAAAGCTCATGAGAGTTGTAGGGGATGCTGAACAGTAGATGGCAGGGGCAATTTTCCAAAGGGATATAACAGGAAGGTGGGAGGTGCGCTCAGTGTTTTTCACAACAGGGCTCTTTAGACACCTAAATAATACAGCCTCTGCCTAGAATCAGCTGTGCAAGACAGGAGGGTGTGAATGGTTCCATGAATACAGCCTTGTACTAAATCAACTCTTACACTATTAACGCGTGATTATCTAGAAAACATATAAAAATTCACTGGTGATGAAGTATCTGATAAGAAATAAGCAACCATAGAAAATACACTGCTAGACATGAGTGCTTTTGAGCCTCAAATCTTGCACGGCTGATTTGAGGACAACATTGTTGTTCTGAAACCCAGATATACTTCTAAATCAGTATTTT